CGTGTCGATTTCACGACACGTTGATCGCGTGGTCTGATTATAACCCCCTCCACCCCCCACCACCACCACCAAGATCAGGTTCAGGGACACGCTGGAGTTTGTTACGAGATAGATACGCATGTGCGTATACTCACTCGTGCGACCTTTCTATTTCTGGCGAAGAATGCGTAAACGTAATAAGGGCTTTCCCGGGCGCGCAGAGTCCACTGAGCTATAAAGCGCACGTATAAGAGAGCCGAGGAAACCAAATATCGAGTAAACTAGTTATGTGTGTGTAAATACATCAATTTTGTATTTGATACTGTGTTAGATCTGCCGTGCGAGTTGGTATCCAACACAACAACGCAAGATCACAGCATTCGAATATCACAACGTCACTGTCAGTAAATGTCTTGGTCTTGGTAAACGTCTTACCTTTCATGGTTAGGCCTACTTCTAAATATTGGATGATATTCACAGAAATAAACCACCGTTGCTGCCCTACCTGGCTTGCACTTTGTATGCTTCCCATAAATCCAATGTAGTGTATGTACCCTGTCGGTGTTAACAATGCACCTACCGCCCTGCGCTGGGATTGTCGCGTTTTTACCGCGTATTCATTTATTGATTTACCACATTTCCTTTGCAGGAAAGCTAACCAAACTGACACATTTACTCTGCATGAGTGTTATCTCACTCTTACACGTTCAAATAGTATGGATATCGTTCCCCTTCATAATAATATATTGATATGAAAACAGGGCAAAAACGGATATTTCGTGCATTTTCGTCTCAAATGCCACTGCACCGATGGATTTTCGCGAGTTTGTTATGATATCATTCGACAGTATACTATTTTTTCCGGTAAGAAATGTGACAACGCTTACACATGTGTAGGGGGTATGAACCTTGTTTTGTGTTTCTACATGTAAAAATACTTCGAAATTTTACATACTACACAGTTATTATATTATATCCCGTTAGGAAAACGGTAAACAAACTTTGTTGAACGGACTTTAGCCCCGCATTTACCTACCCGAGTCTCAAGCCCCCGTTCGAATCAATGGTAAAGCATTGTATTCTTTAGTTCATGAAAGACTGGGGTAATGTAGACTGTCCCTGTTTTATTTCTAGGTAGGTAGTGCCTGCCATCTGTTAGAAATCAGAGTAACAGAGTTTTGATTGTTCCCACGAGCTGACTCGTGGATCCGCGGGGAACGCGTTTTTAATAAGGAAATACTACCCTCCAATTTACAGTCGTGCCCCAAGATTTTCTGTTAAACCGAAGGCAACACTTACATTGCGTGCCCTAAAAATAATCGACGTACGTGATCAATGAAACCGAAAGAAACGCGGAAAACCGTTGGCAATTTTCGAGCAAAGAAAAATTTTTCAGATTGGCATTCTCCCGTAGCGCACGCCGATCGATCAGGAAAATGTGAATCTTTCAAGATAATCTTTGCGCTAGAGCACACACACAAGCGAATTTCTATGACCGCGATCGGAAATTCGCTTCAGTAATCATCACGCGATCTCCCGTAGACGTCACGGAAAGCACGTCGGTAAAGTGACAGGACTACTGTCGGTTGAGAAATGTGCATAGCGGGGTGCGTCCGTGCAGGCGCAAACCGAACATTGATGTTTCTTACACTGTGATATATAGGTGTCGCGATAGTATGCACGATGGCGGATTCAGTAGGCGTCGATTATCAGTTTAAGGTGTTAACGGGAGTAAAGTAATATTGTATCTTAATTGTATCTTTTTTTATATATATATTCGTATCATTGGAAAGATTTTCTTCCTAAAAGTAATTTGGTATTGTGTTGCACCTGTATTTAACGTACTTTTATTCTTCGTGAATTTTCCTTCCTAAAAATTTCGCAATGCAAAAAAAATCTGATAACGTCTATCTCTTTGGTCCTGTAACGCCATGTAACTTCCGCAGGCCAATAATAAACAATATATAGCCCCGTCTACACGAGAGAAATCAACCTGTATAATCGTATACCTATATGCGCGGTGCAAGCCCCATTTAAAACACCTTTTTATAACAAAGACTATTCGACGTCACCTATTGAAGGAGGCGACAAACGCAGTTCACGTAATTGTAGTCGCCGTCTATGCAAAAGCGGGGTTTCCTGAAAACCTTGTCTGCGGTTATAGCCAATGTGACAAGTAACAAAACTCACGCCGAACCGGGCGAATCAAACCAAATAGCGAGCGCCGGTGCCTTCAAGAGAGGATTTCTCATGTTTTTATCAATCGTTTTCATATTTTCTCAGCCGTTCTCATACTTACCGATACTACTTACATAACACATACATATACAAATGTATATAATAACTTAAGGCTAACATGTCATAGAACATTCACACAACATTCTTTCCACCAATAATTATTTGCACCGATCTGCATTTCGAATTAGATTGTTTACATAATAATGTCAACACAGCTAGCGCGTGATATTTGCTCACGTGAGACCGGAATCCTGTCGCTACACTATAGGTAAATTACCTCTGTATACATTTCGACAATAGTAGATAATAACACAATGTGTTATTATTATCTATTCTTGATTTCGAGATAAGTACCAGTTTATAAATATTTGCGTCACGTAACTAGGTGCGTTTGTTTTGTGGGACCGTTTGAACATTTCTTTCTCGCGAATCGGAAGATGGCGGGCGCACGTTTGCTGTTCGTTTACTACTACTGTGTTAAACCCTATAACAGCACAAATTTGTGGTGATTGTTGTGCCGGAGTAATCAGTAAAAAGTCCGCTAATAAGTGAGACCCAGTTTGTCTACATTTTTTTTTTCACACAGGTTTCTGATTTATTCGTGAGCTAGTCGCTTTAAAACATTGGCCTGACAAACTGCGTCCCGCAGCTGCATGCAATCACATCGATAACCCGCGCAACGGCGCAAGCAAAGCAAAGCTGCTTCTGCAGAGCGGCGCATTGAGGCTATAACCTCGAAGGACACGCAGCGTTTTCGCGGCACGTCGCGTATAGGTGTGACTTGAATGTCTCTCGCCTATTTCCCCCGAGGCCGACGTCTCACTGCTGCGTAGATTAATGAATCACCTCAACCGAAAAATCGCGCGTAGCCTTGCAGCGTATCGCCTTCAAGAGCGCGTCGCTGGTCAACATGGCGGATGTGACAGCAACGCCTATACGTAGGCCTACTTACGCGCAGTTTCGTCGCTTACCGAATTGTCCCCAAGTCAATTTTGATGCATTTGCAATGCGCGATGAAGCCGCGTTAATCGTGATCCGGTATCATGTTGGTTATTGTGGTGACGCAAATACGACATACGCATATACGCTCTCCTATATGACACTATTTGTCATCGGAAGATTCTTCCTATGACAAATATTGGTGAGTCAACTTCGTTCCGCTTTACAGCTGAAATTCACTGCTTGCGTTCATAATAGCGCTCCTAAACTCCTATAATGCGCACAACACATACACCAATATTTGTCATAAGAAGAATCTTCCTATGACAAATAGTGTCATAGGAGAGCGTATATGCGTATGTCGTATTTGTCATAGAATCTAGCAGAACAGGCTAGGTTGTTACGCGGCAGTTCTCGGCTGAAATTCAGAAGAAAACTCGGACGTTATTCCGCGAAAACGACGTCAGCTGTCTTAATGACTGCGCAATACACGCATTGACAAGCATTGATTAACTTACGCGTAAGATAAAGGTTACAATGTTGGCGTTTTTCCAGCATGTCACTATAATAAGTCACACAACTCAGCACAATAGATGTGCGTGAGTAGGGAGGAGTCGCTTACAAGAGCACGTTTCTCATGCTGCGCCTATCCGCGTACACAATACAGTGTGTGTGTGTGTGTGTGTGTGTGTGTGTGTGTGTGTGCGGCCTTGGAGGCGTGGTCGGCGTGTGCGTGTGCGTCGTGCGTGTCGTGGTGCGTGTGCGTGTGCTGTGGCGCGTGCGGCTGTGTGCGTGTGCGTGTGCGTGTGCGTCGTTGGTGTGCGTGTGCGTCGCCGCGTGCGCGTGCGCGTAGGCGTAGGCGTAGGCGTAGGCGTAGGTGTAGGTGTGTGTGTGTGTGTGTGTGTGTGTGTGGTGTGTGTGTGCGTGTGTTGCGTGCGTGCGTGTGTGTATGGTGCATGCGTGCGCGCGTGTGTGCGTACGTGAGTACGTGCGTGCGTACATATGTATTCGTCGATGTTGATCGTACGTATCGTAGTTACGCCTGCGATACGCATCCTACGTGTCCTACGACTACTTCTCATCGTTCGATGAGCGCCATCGTGTACATGCCCTCTACTCCCATGTTTATGGCTCTATCCCTTGCTGTGACGTTACCTCAGAACGCGTGACGTCGCCTCACAACGCATGACGTCACTCACGACAGGTGACGTAGGCTTATCAGGCGTGGCGCTGACACACTGATGCGACTGCGTGATGTTGACAGGCGGCGGCAGGCAGGTATCGATCGCGACACACGCGATGACATGAAAACTTGACACGAAATTCGACCTGCGTACTGCGATGTCTACCTATATATATATATTATATATATATAATACGGGACAGCGACGGCAACGCAACGTAAATAGTTGGACCGACGCACGGCTGAATGGAATTACTTCCGAGCGCGGTTCCGTCGCCGCGACCGTCTGACGATGTTGCTCAAGTAACGTGATTTTCGCCTGCCGCCCAATTATATCGGCGGGCCGTCGCGGCAAATTGAAGCCCCGCGCTCGCACACACGTACGCAAATATTTGGCGACAAAACTATCGGCCACGCATACGCGCAGCCGGGTGACACGTGTCGGATTAATCGGCGAAAGAGTCCGACGTCGTTAGCGCTGCATACCTGTGTTTCTGTTTTGTTTACACCCCCCATTTGTTCTCTCGCAGGTGTTGCACTTGGATTGGCGGCCGCTGTGCAGGGACGCCATGTTCTTATGCTTTGTCGTATATCTGCTTCCATCTTCTTCGCGTGGGACACGACGTTCGAGCGGAGCTGTTGAGGCGTGCGTTCTGCTGCTGCTCTACGTCTTCTATATTGTTCATCATGAAGTTCAATCCTCGCTTGATGTCGTTATTGGACCGCTGAGGTAAGATCAATCGTATAAATGGACCCTATCCGTCTGAGCGTGATAACTAACATAACCACCCGCCCCTTTGATATTGTTGTTAGTAGTGCCTCAAAATAGACGGGGTTTAAACTTACTGTCACCTTTGTGGCACTTCGTTGCTTAGAAATGTCTTTTGAAATCGTAACAATGATTGGCGTTTGTATCGTACTTCTGGCTGCCTGCGGATCACGCCAGATGGATAGGCAAATCATCGCGACGTATTAAAATCACGGATATAACGTACCGACAACGGTTGTACGACTGGCGCCGAACGAATGGTCACAATTTCCGGCGCACCGATGCTCTCGCAATGAAAACGGAGACGTTCGCGGGCTAATGTGGCGATTTCCGGTTACGATTAACAGCTCTTGCGTGCGAAGCCGCACAATTTTCTATAAATTGTATATTGGTGCTTACTAATACCCAATTTGAACTAATAATACCTAATTGAAATCTGGATCAAGGGTATTATTATTAGCTCTTGTTGCTTACAATAATTAAGCTTTGTAATTAGGTTTAATTCGCGCTAGAGGCGCGGGGGCGCCATTGCCGGTCAGATCTGTACGTGGGAAACAAAAACACGTTTATTAGGCAGCAGATAGGCATAGCGTACAGTCTGCGGTAGTGTGCGATGTGAAAATATACATTCAGTATATATTTCACATATGATGAGTGTGCTTACGAGTCACGTTGACTGAAATATGTCTCACAAGATATGTATTGTTTTCGGGTTTTGTATATCGACTAGCGTCAGTGCCTAGAAGCACATTAGTCGAAGACAGTTTATGGATTAGCTTTTTAAATTTCTGTAGGGTTTTTACCGACTGATTGCCTGAATTAGCACGCCTCTCTGAATCGTACGTTTTAGTTGCAAATGTCCTTTATGGATGCGACTTTTTGTTGAAAATCGTATTCCAACAATTCACCATACCGGGCGTCTCTGCAAATTACACCATACCAGACACTCAAAACAAGCCACCATACCAGTTCGCATAATGGCCCACTATTACTGCTGAGAGGGGTTCTAGTGCTCTCCGGCGGGTACTGCCGGAACTACCCTGGTGACTATCTAATATGCCGCGACCGTACTCGCCTACTCCACTAACGAGTCTAGGGAGTCGACTACGCCTACACCCTAACCCTAACCATAACCCTAATCCTAACCCTAACCATATCAAATAGTGACCAGGGTACGTTCCGGTATACCGGATCGTACCCAGGGTACGTTCCGGCAGTACCCTGGGGGACATAGACCCTATGAGCACTATGCCTACATACTACATACTACATATACTACATACTACATACTACATACTACATACGACATACTACATAGTACAAACTACATACTACATACTACATATTACCTACTATACATACTATACATACTACGTACTAGGTCGAAAAACGACAGACCATGTAAGTATTGTCTATTATTTCGTCATTCTCCCAACTAGAGCCTATAGTCTGTAACCCGAACTCGGTGCGTTTCCGGGAACAATGTAATTAGTTTTATATAGAATCCTGATGGGTCTGCATTTTGTCTTATTACCTAATTGCTTGTATAGCGTCGGTCCCCTGGGTAGATGCGTCTGTTATCACCCCTCTCACATGACATGACGATCAGATGTGCCCATAATGTCAATGATTACCTGCAGATAGACATCATAAATAAATAAATAAATAAATAAATAAATAAACAAATAAATATATGGATGAAGATTTAAAAATGGAATTATTTTATTTAGCACATTTGCGTTGTATCGCCAAAAACAACGCTATTTCATTGTGAGATAAACCAATTACTTAAGAAATATTTTAAATACGCGTATAACAATTGCATTTCCTCTTGCAAATGGATAAATATACATACATTATCATCTCCATCGCGTGACAGCACATATGCGAGTGCTGACGTCATAATAGATACTTATGTTAATATAATAGTCGTAGCGGAAGTACTGCTAAAACGTTTTCTATGCTACGTGACGCTGGCGATCATATTAGGAGATGAAAATGTTGTAAATATCGTCATTGAATGTTGATTTTTTATTGCGGCGACTAAAATGACGCCGCCAGAGCTGGCATGCGACAGCACGCTACACACAGATTTCTCCTCATCACTCCCACGCTCATTATACTGTTTGTCGATCGGACTCCTAGTCCACTCTTCACCTGACACAGTGGAAAACGTAGGAGATTCATCGACTGGCTAATTTATCGTCAGTCACTGTTATCTATTTTAGTGCAAACTGCAGAAAGTCACCGCTGCCAGTCACGACCGACGGAATCGAGAAGTCAGATGAGAAAGTTACGTTTGAAGAGAAGCCTCCACTCCAGATTGAAACCAACCTGACCATCCCCATGGAACCCACTAAGCAAGCGGTGAGCCATGCTCTCTTGCTCTCTCTCTCTCTCTCTCTCTCTCTCTCTCTCTCTCTCTCTCTCTCTCTCTCTCTCTCTCTCTCTC